ATTATTTTTTGGTAAGAGCGATCTGTTTCTTACAGGAAGTCTTAGCGTAGTTTGAAAGAAGTATTTAAAGAGTAATAGGTGTGAGAAGATGATATGACTGAACGAAAAACATGAAAGAAACAGTTAAATGTTTATATTAGACGAGTAGGATATAAACCAATTTGTCTGCCCCTAATTATATTGAATCAAAGTCTATTCATAGATTTTTAAATAAGATGAATTGTCTAGTTAACTTTTAAGCATGTAATAGAACCCCCACACCGTCGTGATTCAGCGGTAAGATTCAGGGTTAATAATGCAAACATTCGAGGTTCGATTTCTAGGGTGGGCACAGCACATATATCCCGTGGTGTACCTTTATATTTAAAAAAAGAAGAAACAAAATTAGCAGTCCAATTTTATCGCAAATGTTTTTGTAAATGGAATTCAGAATAAAGACGCTATGGAGAGAAAAAAAAAGGTTTAAGAAGGTATTGTAAATTGGTCACAAATTATCCAGATTATCAACAACAATTATTTTCGTTATCAGTTGTTGGTAGCGTAATAAAATATTCATAACATTAGAATTTTTGGTGTGGTTCTTCATTTGACATTATCAACATTTAAAAACAATTTTATACGACGAAACCTATAACGAATAATAAAATATAATTATTGTTATTATTATTTATTATTAATCATCTCTTTTTCTGATGTACAAAATTAGTTAATTCAATTTTCCCGTTCACTTCGGGGGTATGCTTGAAATACTTGTGTATATAGATAATTTCAAATATTTTCTCGCATATATTAACCATCAACAATCAGTTTTAGCTTTCTGCGATTGAATTATTTGTTGGTACAAGGACATATTTATGTATATTTCTTATTTTGAGTTTTTAGTGAAACTTGTTATACAAGAGCGTATAAACAGTTTTATTTCATAGCTAAGAACTTGAGATTAATATTTTATAAAATATGATAACTTTGAACTGCTAAGTGCAAATAGTTTAATATACTTTCTTATGAAACAGTCGCATGTTACTATATGCTTTCATAATATAACGAACCTTAACATATGGCATTTAGCAAAAATAATGGCTTAGAAATTTTCATTCGAGCATTATTCTCTTAAATATTTACGTTAAAAATACACCTTGTTCTAAAAACAAACATTTATTTTGTATTTATACATATAAACTAAGTTAGATGTTTATAACTTTCAGATGCGTTGTGGCAGCAGTGATTGTAGTTATTACTACCCGTAGCGGTAGTAGCTTGTCAGGAGATGTTTCGCCGAGGGATCCCAACCTTCCCCGAGTTCCCTTAGACGAAGATGTCAAAATTCAAGTACCACCTTCAAGTGGTCAGAACGATTCTTTGTTATCCATGCCTCAGTTTTTAGGTTTGATGCAACTGGCGCTGATAAAAGGCACTCAGGATCTGCAAGCTAAACATACTCAACAATTTGGACACTTGATAAATCAGAATGATCATCTCTCACCTCTTAAATCACCAAAACAAACCATACTTGTTACAGAAAAAAATGTTTCTCCGGATAATGAAAAGATGAGAAAATCTAGTATTGGATTTAGTTTTATTCCTGAACCAGTAGAAAATATGCTGAAAAACTTAAACATACCATTCATTTGGCCATACAATTTCGGGAGTTCTGAGCTGATCCACCAAAATAAAGAAAACGAAACAAATATGTACTACTCTCCCAGCTTCATACCTCGTCCAGTTGAAAAGATGTTGAAAAATTTGAATATACCATATGTTGGTTCCTTTGAAAATAGAAGATATCCATACTTTTCTGGAGCATTCAATCCATTTGACTTCCCTTCACGTGTTAAAGACCTTTTAAATGGCATGTCTTTTGAAGGAAGTGATATAGGAATAGACATTTTCATTCCAAAATTTGTAAAGGATCTTTTAAACAATCTTGCATTACTGAGAAAAACAGCACATATGAAAAAAATGGCAATTTTGCAAGAAGCGGCAAATAAAGCCCTTTTTCGTCAGGTACTGTTAGCTTATGCTAAATTTGATGGTTCAAGCGATGGAAAGAACACCTCAGAAGCTCAGCAGTTTACGAAAAACAATTATAATCAGTATATTCCAAAATATGTGAGAGATTTTCTGAAAGATTTAGGGGTTCCGCTTGGTAAAAAAAAATCCTCCACTGACAAAGGAAATTATACAAAAATGGGCGATAAATTCATGCCTAAGTTTATGAAAAATCCCCTTCATGACTTTGATAAGATGACAAATAAACAAAATGGCGATACAGATACAGTTAGCACTTCTTCCAACAATGCAGGCCAAGCACTATTGCAATTGGTTTTACTGGGGTATGCAAACCAAACTGTTAATAACGGAAGTTCTGCTGAATCACAAAACGTTACTCAAATGCCGAAATGGGTAAAAGATTACTTAGATAGCTTAGGAATTCCATACAACACGTCAGCTGATCAAGACAACACCACAGCTTCTGCTACTAAGTCCGATTCAGAAATTGTTAAGTTTGTTAACGATACTCTGGATGAACTAGGCATTCCTAAGAACTTGACCGTGAATAAAGAAGATATTTATTCTGTCCAAACAAATTCTACACCGAAGTTTATGGAAAAAATGATAGACGGTATTGGCATTTCTTACAACAAGACCTCTGACAAAAACAGTGTACAAGCTCTCATGAAAACACTGGCGACTTTAAAATTAGTTGCAGTTTTGAATGGGCCGAAAACTGTGCAACCGTCAGATAAACAAAACAACGAAGATTCAAAATACACCAACGATCTCTTTAAAGCGTTGGGGGTATATACTCTCTTGCAGAAGCAGCCTAAACAGTATCAGAAAAATGAGTACACTCACTATTTACCTAAGATTGTAAATCATCTGTTAAAGAAACAGGAAGAGTATAAAAAGAAATACTCGGGCTCTGGTCAAAATGGAGATGGACACAAAGTAAATTTTGCTACAAAAGGATCTGCTGATTTACCAGATAAACCTGGAAACAATCCTTCAGTAACTGGTTTACTAAAATTTTCCCAGTATTTTGTTCTTCAGGATGCTGTTCAAAAACCACAACAACCTCACCAAGCTTGGCAACCGCAACAGTCCAAACAACCACAGCAACCTGAACAGCCTCAGCAAGCTTGGCAACCGCAACAGCCCAAACAACCACAGCAACTTGAACAGCCTCAACAAGCTTGGCAACTGCAACAGTCCAAACAACCCCAACAACCTCAACAGAAGCAGCAAAAACCCCCAAAGTTTGTACAAGATTTTCTAAATGATCTTGGTACTTATGTTGACATTTCAAAAGATATTCAAAAGCCACAGCAGCCATCACAACCACAGCAACCCCAACAGCCACAGCAACCACAGCAGCCATCACAACCACAGCAAACCCAACAACCTCAACAGAAGCAGCAAAAACCTCCAAAGTTTGTACAGGATTTTCTAAATGATCTTGGTACTTATGTTGAAATTTCAAAAGATATTCAAAAGCCACAGCAGCCATCACAACCACAGCAACCCCAACAGCCACAGCAACCACAGCAGCCATCACAACCACAGCAACCCCAACAACCTCAACAGAAGCAGCAAAAACCTCCAAAGTTTGTACAGGATTTTCTAGATGATCTTGGTACTTATGTTGAAATTTCAAAAGATATTCAAAAGCCGCAGCAGCCATCACAACTACAGCAACCACCGCAAGTATCTCAACCACAACAACCTAAACAGAAGCAACAAAAACCTCCAAATTTTGTACAGGACTTTTTAAATGACCAGGAAACTCTTGTCAAAAATCCAGAAAATGTACAAGAATTCCAACAAACTCAGACTTCTAAACAGCTCCAGAAGAAACAGAAGTTTGTTTCATCTCTGAGAGAAGACTTACATGATCTTGATATTGACTTGAAAAACGATTTAGTTGAAAATGCAAATACACTAAAAAAGTTCCCTTCATTAGTGCAGCTTCGCATAAAACAGCCAGTCTCAACCAATCCAGTAGTAGAATCACCCAATGCAATGATAGGCTCCACCAATCCAGTGATGCCCCAGTATTTGCCTTATTACATGGGTGGTGTAACAACTGGAAACATGTTTAAAAAAATGAGCTACCCTTATAATAACAAAGTATATTTTCATGGTAAGCTGGTGTATTTGTTCTTAGAAAATATTTAACCAAGTATTTATAAATGATCTTTTAGAGCAGCATATACATTTCTATAATTTAGAATATTATTTAGCCTTATAATTATCATCTGTTTTATTGGTATTAATTCAAAATTACTTTTTTTCGCACGTTTCTGTCATTATTTCTAGCACAAATTTACACAATGAGCTATCTGCGCTCTGTCCACTGCGAGGAACCGAACCCCAAATGTTAGTGTTGTAAATCTGAAGACTTAACGCTGACCCACCAGGGGATTCCTTTTCATCTTTTATAATGTTACAGGAGTAGATGCTTTATTTTAAACCTTACTTTACATACGTTATCTTTCTGAACTTTGTTCTTAAGTTACTGGTCTGAAGGCAAAGGAAATGGTATTCCTAGTAACTTATAGAAGATGTACTAATTTTAGTTTTGAGCCACGAGAGTCATCTAGTAGTTAGCGAATCGTGCTGTGGATCTGTGAATGTCGGGTTCGAGACGTGATGCTACCAAATACATACTTTCTGCTATGGAAGCGTTACAAGAGTGACAATCAATCCCTCAATTCAGTTAAGAGAAGTCGCTTCAAGTGATGGGTGCTGACAACTAGTTGCCTTTTTTTTCTGGTCTGCAGTTCCATTGTGATCTCTGACCTGGCCGTTTAACCCACTGCATAAGGTGTTGTTCAAATGAACAAACAATTTTGATCGTAAAGCATTTGATGAAAGAACCTTCCTGTTTCATTAGATTTAAATAAACAATAACAATGACTCCGAAGAAAATAGTTTTCATCAGCAACTCTAAACGTTGGATATTTTTGGTTGTTATAGCAATGCTTGATATATATATGATACATCACGATACAGTCATTCCACGTGGCCATCCCTTTTCCAGTTTGTTTCACTAACTCAAAGAGAAGCTAATTTGAGAAAATAGCACTGCCAAACGAGAAAGGGGAAAAACAAAAATGATAATACAGATTGATTTGTGCGGATGACAAAAATGAAGATTAAAAAAGCGTTTTTTATCCTAAAGTCGTGAATTCTATCCATGCTCATCAACGCGCCTAGCCTATAATTTATTGTGGTAATCCAATTTTTTTCTCCTTCTTTGAAGGGATAAAACCCGGATCATTTGCCCAAACCGTACATTGGGAAGAGCAACCAAACCAGTAGCAGATATTTGAAACAGGTCAAAGAAGCAAAAAATGAAGACAGAAGACTAACCAACATCTAAATTACATAGTTCAGGAAACACAAATACAAACTGTTGTATTACATATGCATACAAGTGACGGATAAAGATTTCAAAACAGTAACATTTATTATTTGTTTGGTATTTTTAGCTATCTTTTACTCATCAGAGTAAATCTATATTTATATAGGATTTGAATAACATGTAGCATTAATGCTACTAAGTTATTCTTCTGAATTATTTAGCAGACAAACTGCTTAAAATACCACTATTAGAAGCCTAGCCTTGTTTTTTCGATCTGCCATTGTGGTAGGTCACTGATGAAGAGTGGAATCCTCCTAAAGTGGTATAACTCAGCCACAAGTGGTGAATCAGTTGACAGACTGGACTTAATATTTATCTTTAGTGGAATTTATGGAAGTTAATAAGCTTGTTAACAGCGGAAATATCTTGAAACTAAATAATCAAATCACATACAGAAATGTCTTAGTCTTAAAAAAATTAAAAAAATGCGTAGGCAGATTGATGTATCATGAAAATCAAATGTTAAATAATGAAGGTGATAACATGAAATGTGTTCAAGTTTCTATGAAACAAAAATATCGATTATTGGATCGAAAAATGATTCAGATATAAAGAAAATATTAAATAATGAACTAAGTAAAATAGAAAATAAGAATGCTCATGTGTACTCTATGTGCTCGTGATGATACACGGGTACCACACCAGCAATACATATGTCTTTCTATACTTAACATTTGGTGTCACGTGAGGCTTACGTCATCTGTTCCACCAGTTTGGGTCTGGTGATTAAAGTTATCAATTAACATTCTGCGGATCGCGGGATCGAGACGTTTCGCCTAACATGCTCGCTCTTTCAGCCGTGAGGGGCTTTATAAAGTGACGGTCAATCTGACTATTCGTTGGCAAAGAGTAGCTAAGAGTTGACGTTGGAAGGTGTTGACTAGCTGTCTTCCCTCTAGTATATCATCTCTTAGTTAGGAATGGCTAGTGCAGACAACTGTCGAGTATGTGTTAAATATCTGTGTGTGGAAAGGGTAAAATAAAGCTCATAAACGTAAATGTGTATTGGTTTGAGTGATAGCATTATACATCCCCCCTTCCCCCTCTCTGTGCGATCAATTGTTCCTCATTTTTACTTAATCTTGGAAGTGTCATGAAATAAAAACAAAAGTGACGATAAGTATTTAATAACAATCCCATGATATGACTTATAATAATCGAATATACCTCACAATTATTTAAATGTAATAATTAAATGAAGTCCTTTCATAAAATTCCACTTTTGTCATCATCTGAAAGAAACAACATTCTAAGAAACTATTTCCCTTCCATCAACGAAAATGTCTACAGAGGAAACCAGAGTGCGCTGTTTCCTTTCTAAAACATACCAATCCGTCGAAGTATTAGTAAAGTTTTATACCAAAATATGAATTTATATATATACTCCGCCCTCGTGGCCCAACGATAATTCTGAAGACTTATAACGCTAAAAACCTAGTTTCGATAATCCTGGTGGACACAACACAGATAACCCATTGTGTAGCTTTTATGCTTAACAACATACAAGCAAACTAATATATATATATACATACATAATTTATAATTATTATAATTGTATGTATAAACATTTAACTTGGTTGTTAATATACTTTCTCTTTCAGTGTAAAGAAATACAAATGAAGATATAGATTATCGTTGTAATAGTATTTTAAAAAAAAAACTTTTAGAATTGTGTGAGTCTTCATTTTTCATAGATTTTCAATAAACATAATAATTTCTTAATGTACTAGTTCTGTCAGGAATAGACAAGACATATCTCCCAAAAATAAGTAATACATCCTAATGGTTTTTTATATTATTTTACCTTTACAGCAGACATTGGAGGAGGAGCTTCCTTGGACATGATGAGTGGGGACTCAGAAAACAAGTCAATGTCCAAGCAGAAGTAAACGATCTAAGCTAAAGTGGTGCGTTATTACTTTTAAGTTCAATAGCATTCATTAAATAATTATGAAAATATGATAAACACAGAAGGAAATGATCTGAGCTAAAGTGGTGCGTTATTACTTTTAAGTTCAATAGCATTCATTAAATAATTATGAAAATATGATAAACACAGAAGGAAAAGATCTGAGCTAAAGTGGTGCGTTATTACTTTTAAGTT